GCGCCGCCGATCGGCGGGCGTGCTGCTTTGCAGGGTAGGGCGCGTTCCCCTGCTCGTGGGCCTGGGACCTGGGGCTTCGCTTTTAATCTGTTTTGCATGTTCAGAATCTGGAAAAATTGCAAACGAAAATGTACATTACAAGCCACGACGAACGCACCACCTGGTGGGTGCAGTAGAACCCGGCCAGTGTTCGGGAGCCTCCCGGGTCATTTCCCGGCTTTGCCACCGCACGGGCGTTTCCTTAAGCAACACGGCCTAACTCTTCCTTGTGCTTGGCGTTACCCAAAATTGTGTGGTGCCACAGTCTGTGGTACCCTGCCGCCCGCGACATCATGTCACTGAGAATCGGTTATTAGACCATCAGCCTTTTTCTTTCATTTCGCTTCGGCGTAGCCTTCTGTGGTGACAACGCCCACAATTGATTCACGTATATCTGGGTCTTTTCCAGATTTGGGTCTGTGTCAACAATGCTACTATTAATATTCTTTTTTTTTTTTGAGACGGGGTCTCACTCTGTCGCCCATGCTGGAGTGTATGGGCATGATCATGAGTCACTGTAGCCTCAAACTCCCATGCTCAGGCTGTCCTCCCACCTCAGCCTCCCAAGTAGCTGGTACTACTGGCCTCCCTCGCTACGCCTGGTTGATTTTTTTGGGTATAAAGATGGGTGGGGGTGGGGCTCTCACTATGTTGTCCAGGCTGGTCTCGAACTCCTAGCCTCCATCAATCCTCCTGCCTCGGCCTCTCAAGGTATTACAGGCGTGAGCCACGGCACTTGGCTGAATATTCTCATATTTTGCACATGTGCTAAAATTTAGAGTATCTAGGAGTGAAGTTGCCGGTCTTGGGCTAGGTGATTTTCAGTAGTGCCTTATCATTGCTTTCCCGCCAGCAGAATGAATGCCCTTCATTTCACAAAGTCACCACCACTTGGGGTAGTCAGAGCTCTTAGTTTTGCCATTCTCGTGGGTGTCAAGTGATATTTCTTTGGAGTCTTTGGGAAATATCCACCAATCACTCATAAGTTTTGACGTTTTGTTTTCATTGGCTATTTGCAATCCATTTTCCTTAAAAATATTTGGGTTTCTTGCCCGTTTTTCATTTGGGTGTTATGTATTTCTTATTACTTTGTAGGCTTTTGTATAAAGACTGGGCATTAATTTTTTTTTTTTTTTTTTTTGCATTGGAGTCTCACTCTGTCGCCCAGACTGGAGGGCAGCAGCCGCTCCCGGCCACCGCAGCCTCGACTGCTGGGCTCCGGCGATCCTTCCACCTCAGCCGTCCGAGTAGCTGGAACGACAGGTGCGCGCTACCACGCCCGGCTGATTTTTTGATTTATTGTAGAGATGAGGTCTCGCCAAGTGGCCCAGGCGGGTCTCCAACCCGCAGGCTCTGGCAATCCACTCACCTCAGCCTCCTAAGGCGCGGGATTACAGGCTGAGCCACTGAGCCCGGCTGGGCATTAATTTTATGGCTGTTTTTCTTTTCAGAGAAACTTGTCTTTACCCTAAAGTCATAAAAATATTCCCCCATAGTTTCTACAAAAGTTTTAAGGTTTGATATTTCACTTTTAAATCTTCCTTCATCTGGAATTGGTTTTTGTGTGTGTGTGCCTGGTGCCCAATAGGGATCCACTTATTTTTCCCTCATTTGGAAACCAGTTGTCCCATCCTTATTTGACCAGCACTGTCCCTAGAACATGTCATGTGTCCAGTCTCCATATGCTCTGGAGTCTGCTTCCTAGCCTGTTCCGCTGGTCAGTTTGCTTATCCTTGTGCCAAAACCACGGTTTTCATTACTCTGGCTTTATTAAATATTTGGTATCTAATAGGGCAAGTATAATACCTTATGTTTTTCTTCATAAGTAACCTGTGTATTCTTTAAATTTTGCTTTTCAAGTAATTTTAGAAACAGTTTTTCAAGATCCATTTTTAAAAGCTGTATTTTTATTGTAATTTCAGAGAACTTGTAGATCAATTTAGAGAAAACTGAGCCTTCTCATTCAATTTTTTTTTAAGTTGGAATCTCACTGTGTTACCCAGGCTGGAATGCAGTGTCACAACCCCTGCTCACTGCAGCCTCGACCTCCTGGACTCAGACAATCTTTCCACTTCAGCCTCCTGAGCAGCTGGCACTACAGGCACGTGCCACCACACCTGGCTATTTCTTTTTTTTTTTTTGTAGAGATGACGTCTCACTATGTTGCCTTAGGCTGGACTTGAGTTCTTGGGCTCAAGCAATCCTCCCACCTTGGCCTCCCAAAGTGCTGGGATTATAGGCATGAGCCATTGTGCCCGGTTTCCTATTCTTGAACATAGTATATTGTTCAATTATCTAAGACTTCTTTAATATCATTCAATAAAGTTAAAAGGTTTTCTCTGCAAGTTTTGCCCACATTTTATTAGATTTATTGATAAATAATGTATTTGCCTCTACTTTGTTCTAATTGTTGCTTGTATATAAAAATGTAATGATTTTTATTCTTATATCCAGCAACTTGCTAAACTTTTATTACACTAATAATCTGTAATGGCTGTGATTTCATAATCATATCACTGTGAATAATGACATTCTTGTTTGCTCTTTTCCAATTCTTAGGTTTTTCTTTTACCTTTTCTGACTGCGCTGGTTAGGATCTTTAGTACAAAGATGAATAGAGGCATCCACACTAGACACTCTTGTGTTCTTCCCCTTGTCAAAGGCATGCTTCTAAAGCGTCGTTTAATCGTGATTGTGCCGTAAGTAGGTTTCTGCTAGTTGCCCTTTTGCTAACGTTAAGCCCAATTTGCATTCCTGTGATAAACCCGAGTTGATCATGAAGCATTGACATTTGAAGCGTATGGTCTGCTCAGCATGTTGTGTCCATTTTCATGCTTAAGACGGTGTTGAAACTTTCCTGTAGCTTGCTGTCTGTCGTAAGCTAGTAAAAAGTTAAGGTTATGCATAGGCTTTGCTCCCCTCTCCTTCAAGTCTTCGCTCAGAGGTGACTGCTTTTCTCAAGCAGCTTTCTCCACCCCCACTTTAGACTCTGGAGTTGCAAACTGCACCTCCTTTCTCCTCTTTGCTTATTTCCCTTTCCCATATGCCTTTCTCTGGCATTTATCACTTTTATTGTAGTATGTAATTTGCTTTATTGGCTCTGTCAACCCTCATTAGGATGCAAACTCCCAAGGTCAGACAGAAAGGTATATCGTGTGAGAAACAGGTCTAATTTCATCTTTTTCCAAATGGCTGTCCACGTATACCAACATCATTTACTAAAAAATCCATCTTTGCCCTACTGATTCAAAAATATCACCTTTAGGCCAGGCACCATGGTATGTACCCCTATAGTCCTACTCAGGAGTGAGAGGATCACTTGAGCTTCTCAGGAGGTGAGAGGATCTCTTGAGCACAGGAGTTTGAGGTCAGCCTGGGCAAGATAGGAAGACCCTCGTCTCTTAAAAAAAAAAAAAGAACGAAAAAAGAAAGGAAAGAAGGAAGAAAAGAAATGTGACCTTTATTATATACTGTGCAGTTGGATCAAGTTTTGGGTTTTCTATTGCATTTCATTGGCCTATTATGTACCTGTACCACACCATCTGAATCATAGAGACCATTGAATATATTTTATTATCTGCTAGGCCAGTTGCTCCTCACATCTATTCTTTTTCAGTGTTTCCCTAGATATTCGTGCATTTTTAAAACACAGTGTTTAGTGTCATCCTCTCTCCAAGGGAAAAAAAATTATTGATATTTTTTGTTGAGGATTGCATTAAATTTATCAGTTAATCTGATATTGAAATTAAACAGGGAGCAAGGGATATCTTTCCACTAGGTCATAGTTTTGTGTCCTCAGAAACATTTTATAGTGGAGGAAAAAAGACAAAAAAATAAAAGAAAAAAAGAAGAAAATGAAAAACAAAAAACCAACAAAAGAAACATTTTATAATGGGCCGGGCATGGTGGCTCACGCCTGTAATCCCTGCACTTTGGGAGGCTTAGGCAGGTGGAACACTTGAGGTGAAGAGTTTGAGATTCGCCTGGGCAACACAGTGAGACCCTGTCTCTAATTAAAAACAAACTAACACACAAAAAAGAAACATTTTAT